AAAGAAGGCTCAAAACACAAGTTGCTTTGGGTATGAAAGAAGCATCATACCGTTGTAATGAACCCCCTAAGGGATTCAACCATTAAGTACAAAATCTCAATTTCACACTTAGGCAAGCAAGTGACTTGAAACCACTTTCAAAGCAAAAGTAAAAGCCAAGAAAGGAGGGAGGTTGCAGAGATGATTAGTGCTGAAAATAAGTGTGAAAAGCACTAAAAACATGCAATCAACTCAAACAAGTGATGTCTAATGGCCTAAAACACTAAGCTTGTGAAGACTATTACACTACAACTATGCAAAACAAAGCTCAAACACAACAAACACTTAAAAATAGTCTTAATACAGGTCTGAAACAACCCTAAAACATGCGGGAATTAAGCTAACAAAAGCTAGAAAAATAAGCTAAAATATGGAGAATGTTAAGCTAGTAAACAAAACACAAGGAGGGGAGGCTAACCCCTCCAATTTTGAACTTCAAAAAGTGTTTTTAGCCACTGAAATAACTCTGAAATTCAGTGTTTAAAAGCTCAAAAACATATAGTAAAAGGGTAGGAAACACAAGGGTAAAGGCCTCCAAAATAAGGTTCAAAGAAGGGTAAACCACCCATCAACCTTTAATGGCCTTAAAATCCAAGTTTCAGCCCAAAAATGCGGAGTTTTTACAGTCCAAAAACAGCCCAAAAATAGTACGAAAATGTGCTAGAATGAAGACAAAAACATGGAGCAATTAAACAAGCCAAAGGAGGGGTGGCTAACCCTCCATTTTTGGGACTTCAAAACCACTTTTTTAGCATCTGAAAACCTCTGAAAATCAATGGTAAAAATCTTTAAAAAGTTGATGAAAGAATGGGAAGCACAAGTGGAAAGGCTTAGAGAACAAGGTTCAAAGAATAGTGATTAACCCCTCTACCTTTAATAGCCTTAAACCACAAGCTTCAGCCTACAAAAACAGGTTTTAAAGAGCTTAAAAATAACAAGAAAACATGGAAAACAAGTGGTGTAGAGATGGTGCAACAGCAAGAGAAGGTATGCCTCTTGGAGAAGAATGAACCCTTAAGTCACAACCAACCAATTCCACACTCTCAAGTGCTTCAAGAGCTTAAATCCAACCTCAAATCACCTCAGCAAGAAGCTCTCTAGGTTTGGTTTAGAGTGTTTGGGTATAGGCTATGCAAGTTGCAAAAGAGAGAAAGAATTGTAGAAAGAGAGGATATTTTTCAAAATATTTCTTCACTCTTAATGTTTTCTAACCTTCAAAGATGAGAGGGAGGTCCTCCATATATAGAAATATATGAGCTTTGGTTGAAATATCTAAAAAATGGACAGCTGGAACAGTGTGGGGACAGCTGGAGCAAAATATTTGGCTTTTACACTAATGGCCGGTAGGCAAAAAGTGGTGGTTTGCCGGCCACAAATGGTGATTGTCGGCCACCTGCCGGCCATGTCTCCAGGCTTGACTTCAAATGGGTTTATCTCTCTCCGGACTCTATTTTAGGTCATTCTTGAGTCTAAATTGAAGCCCCAAAAGTCTGGTTTCCATTGGTGGAAGCCTCACATCTAAATTCTAAGTGTGCAAAGAGATATGCCTATTTTATGAAGGTTTCTCAGTTTTGTCTTAATCGGATTGATGCCTAATTTCAAACACCCATATCTCCCTCATCTAAACTCGGCTTTAGGAGATTCTTGGGTCTAAAATGAAGCCCCGGAAGTCCACTTTTGAATGGTGATGGCCTCACAACTAAAGTTCAAGTGTACAAAAGGATAGGTCTAATTTAGTAAGGTTGCCCGGTTTTCCCTTAACAGTTTCAAGCTCAACCACTTCCCCAACTAGTTTTCTTTCCTCTCCTCCTATTTTCTTCAACTCCAAACCTCTAAATAAGATGTTTAAAAGATTTTTCAAAGAGTTCACCTCTCTTTCATTTATCTTCACTTTGTCCTTGCTCGATTTACTGAAAAGTGCAAATTTTAACGAAATGCGAGCCTCGGAACATCGTAGATACATTTTCAAAAATATTTTGAAAGAGATGGTTTTAAGGTATAAAAAGAGTTTTGGTCAAAATAGTTTTGGTCCAAAATGGGGTGTAAGGTTGGGATTTAGAGCTCTTCTTGCTAAAGAAATTGAACATTTGCATAGCACAACTTTCATCATCGAGTGATGAATCAGTGGCGCCAAAGTCTTAAGGGCGGTCAAAAATGGGGTGTCTACGGCTTTGAACTTGTAGTTGCGAAGCATTATTCTATTCGAACTGTAACATAATTGATTTCAAATTGAAACCTTATTTACGTAATTAGTGGTGAACTCATTGCCCTAGGTTTTTTCCCAAATCAGTAAATTCATCTTTATTTATAATTACTAGTTTATTTGCTTTGTTTAATTTAATTATTATTAGCTTATGAATCCCTCAATCTTTTTATCAAAATTAATTTAGGAATTTAGCATTTAAATTAGTTTAATTTCACAATTGTCCCTGTGGATCGATACCTGGACTTACCATTATTCTAAAAGAATTTGGTATAGTTTGGTGTTTAATTTTGGCATGTGAAACAACCTATCAAATTTTGGCGTCGTTGCCAGGGACTTCTGACGAAAATTGAGTAATTTAAAGTTACATTCCTATTTTAATTTTTAGTTTAGGATTTTATATTTTTGTGTTGCTAAGTGTGCAGAGTGTTTGCAAATGTAACTATCATCGAAGTACAAACGAAGTGCAACCAAGCTTTAAAAACAAACCGCAGCACCAAAGTGCTAAAAAAGAAACATAAGCAAATACTCACAAGCAAAGCACCAAAGTGCTACACCTAGGGGTGCAACTTGGGCGGGCTCAACCTAAGCAACCCGAGCCCAGCCCGAATTTTTTTAGGGCTTGGACAAAATATTTTCAAATTCGATACGGGTTTGGGCAAAAATTCAGAAGCCCGAATTAAATTTGGGCGGGCTTGGGCAAAGATGTCAAACAACCCAAGCAACTCGAAACCCGAATTATACATATATAGATATATAAAAATATTAAATATAAATATAAATTATTAGTCATTACATGATATTAAAGTAATTTATATTATTAAATCATATTGAATATATATTATATATACAAATAACATAAAATCTTACTTTTTTTCTTTTTATTTTCACTCATAAATTGTAAGGGCTACTATATTGGCATCTCTCTTACATTATATAAATTATTTGTTTTGATGGTATTAATGATTTTCTATAATAAAAAAATAATTAAAATTAAAAATAAAAATAAAAAACTGAAATTCATTTACAATTCGGGCAACTCGGGCAATTCGGGTTTAGTTCGGGTCGGGCTTGGGCAGACAACCTCGGGTTACAATTCAGGCTTGGGCGGGCTTGGGCAAGTCTCAGCACAACTTGGGCTGGGCTTGGACAACCTCCCAACCCGATCGAACCCGCCCGAGTTGCACCCCTAGCTACACCTAGAGAGCTTGAGTGGAAATTGGGGATAACATCTACACGCCAAGCACCCGCAAGACGAGTAAAACATTTTCGTTAAATCGCTGTGAGTATTCTCTTCTTTGGTATTTTACTTTCATAACTTAGTGCACAGAGTCGGAACTTAGTGTGTGTATGTGTGTCTGTGTGTGTGTGAGAGTAATGTATGCACGGGCGCCATTCTTGTCGCCCTGAATTGTGGAAGTTGGACCTTGAACTAGAAAGGACTCTTAGGAAACTTAGAGCCTCTTCCCGTGTTCCTAGGCTTGAATACCCTTATCTATACTTCGAACCAATAGAGATGAAAAACCCGAATGGCCTAAATGGGTCCAATCGGACCCTTAAGGATTACTTCACACCCACTGCATATACATCACCATCATGCATCCAGTTACTTGACACCACTGCTACTCATTATGAGATTAAGTCCAGGTGTAATTCCTTTGGTGTTTGTCGTGCCCGAACGGCATCTAACGGTCTGGTATAGCCACGTAACTGTGTTTGTAATGAGTTCCTAGGAGACCAAATGAGATAGTGGAAACTAGAGTTCAAATGGCAAAGCCTAGAACGCATAGGTTTGAAATTTCTAAGACTAGAGTCTGATTTAAATACTCAAGGGTGTGGACATTGCTTCAAAACCACCCCGGCTTGAACTCTGTATAGCAGCCCCATAGGTCGAGTTAGCTTTATGCGCCTCGATTCTGGATACCGAATCAACCTAGTCAGTCCCCCTGTTGGAGAATTGGGAAAGTTACAAACGTTGTTAGAGGGAAAAGTAGTACCCGTGGTTTTTGCGTGAAGATTATACCTTTGTTGAGCATTTAGTTATTTTTGAAATACTATATTTCTTTCAGATGTAAAATGAAGGTAGAAATGGGTTGAGATGTTTTGGTGCTCGAGTTAAGAAAGGGTTTTATTTCTTTAAAAAAAAATAAAAAATCTTGCACGTGTGGCAAAATTTTTAGTCCATGATTGGCTATTGCTTTAAATACAGGTGCGCGGGCGAGGTGCGGCACAATCGCCGCACGTGCGGCCTGGGTCACGCACGTGGGAGAAAATCTTGGGAAAATTCTTCGAGCCTGCTTTATATGCAGATACAGTTCCTGGTGCGTGCACATAGCCGCACGTGTGGTGTGGACTCCCGCACGTGCAGCACAACGTTAAAAATAAATAAATCTACAGTTTTATTATTTTATTTCTTTTTATTTGTTTATTTATTTTTAATGTTTATTTTATTTTATTTTATTTCTTCAAAAAAAAAACTGCAATTTTATTATTTTATTTCTTTTTATTTGTTTATTTATTTTTAATGTTTATTTTATTTCTTTAAAAAAAGAAAAGAAAAAGAAAAAATTTGATTTCATCAAAACCTAACCCACTTTTCTCACAATCACTCTCACAGATTTTATCTCTCTCTCTCTCTCTCTCTCTCTCTCTCTCTCTCTCTCTCTCTCTCTCTCTCTCTACCTCATCATCTTCTCTCAACCTTTCTCTTTCACTCAAACCCCACCACCAACACCAACTTTCTTCATTCTTTTCCCCACCATTACCAAACTTCACCCAAACTCTTCTCACCACCACTCCACCACCGGAGCCTTACCACCGGTGCCCTATTTCCTCTCCGTTCGTCGAATCTCCAACGACCACCATTTTTTCTGGTGAATCTCCCTTCTTTCCCTCTTTTTCTTCACTATTTACAGGTAAATCCTTCCTTTTTGTTTAAACTTTATATTTCTTCTTTCATACGTGCTAAAAAAAAAAAAAAAATTATCATGCTTAACTTTTCTAATTCGTTTTATTTCCTAGGTTGTCTATTTATTTATTTAGTAGTTTAGTTGTTTATTTATTTATTTTTTCTTTTTTTTTTTTTTTTTTTTTTTATCTCATTATTCTTTATTAGTTTAATTCATTACTTGTTAGTATAGTTCATTTTTATTTGTTTAATCATTCAATATTTCCATAATATGTTAGTGTGTCTAGTTTATTTTATTTTATTTCATTTTATTTTCAGGTTTCATTTATTACACACAAAAAAAATTAAAATTTAAAATTTAAAAAAATAAAAACACTAAAAGAATAAAAAAAATTATTTATTTATTATTTTATTTTACTTTATTTTATTTTGATTATTATTTATTCTATTATCTCATTATTACTTATTAGTTTAATTCATTACTTGTTAGTATAGTTCATTTTTATTTGTTTAGTCGTTGTTAAATAAAATGTAAATGTGTCTTTTTTTATTTATTTAATCTTATTTTAGGTTTCATTTATTACAACAACAATAACCAAAAAAAAAAAAAAGAGCAAAAGAAAAATAATGAGAATTGCATATGGTACATCAGTGGGCAGACTTGTGCTTTAATATCTTATTCTTATTCTCATGTTGGTTCCACAGGTATGTATGTATTTGCTTTTGGTGTGTGCAGGATATGAGTAGACGGCTATCCACCCGGGCCTCGAAAAAGGCCAAAGGTTTGTCCTCCTCGGCACCACCACCGCCACCGTCACCATCATCCTTGCCACCACCACCGATTGAGTTGCCACAATCGGAGTGGGCTTCGCGTCTGCTTCACAAGCTCACACAGTTCAACATTACATATTTTCAGCGTGACCTGGTCACTTTTTGGGCCGTTGAGCAGCTCCACCTTCGGTAATAGTTAGGCCTTTGTAAGGTTACAGCGCCTACTTATCATCATCTGGTACGAATTTTCTACCAGAACATGTATGAGTCACTCACTGAGATCGGACTGTTGTCCACTATTGATGGCCATCTCGTCAGCATCATAGAATCTATAATTGTCGACGTGTTAGGGTTCTTTTCCAAGACAAAACACCAGCCCTTCCCGGAAGTTAAGGGCCGACAACCCATACACAGCCTCATCCAAGAGTACTTCCCAGGGCCCATGGTGACGCAAGTTACACATGCTTGCACCGAAGCAAGCTGCCTGGCTGCTTGTTATTCATTGACTCCGTGGTACATAAAAATGCCCTTCCACTTGGGCATAAAGCTGAGCGCCGCTTGGAATTTGTTCGGGTCTTACATGGTTATCAGCATGGCTACCAAGTCCCACTTGCGCACGTCATCTAGATGCATATGCATAAATTTCTGTAGGAGGCCGTTCAGCCTCAATCTATGCAAAACCTGACTTGGCCCCTACCATTTGCCATCTTGCTCACACTTGTCTTTGATCTGAATGGCCTCCCAATTGATCCAACTGAGGAGATTGACACAGCTTATCCAACTTTTGGGCAGTAGGAATGGTAGCATAGCTTATCCCACATCTCGCAGCAAGTTGGTGCCCTGGTTGATGAGGCTCAAGAACCCGTCCACGACCAACCACCTCATCCTGCCTCCCCTATGCCTCCCCAAGGGGACCCACTATATATGACTCACGAGGAGTATTTACAGCTTCGGCACTCTATGGATTAGGTCCACAATACTCTTCGCAATCACCACCAGATTCTCATGGGGTTGCATACGGATTTTCAGGTGCATTGGGATTATTCTCAGGCAGTTTTCGACCAGCTCAACACTCAGCAGCATGATATTCAGCAATCAGTTGCATCACTACAAACTGACTTTTATACATATCGTGAGTCGAGCTTGCAGTGTTTTGACCATCTCGGCACCCGGGTTCAGGACGAAGCATTTGAAACGCGGTCATTGATGAACGCCTTGTTTGCCCAACATTTCCCCCCACCGCCACCACTGGATTCTCAATAGTACTAGACTATCATTTTCTTTGTCACTTTTATTTTTGTATTTACTTTTAGTTGTTTCTCTTTCTATAAAAAAAATAAATAATAATAATAAAAAAAAAGTGTGTTATACTATTTGCCGACCTAAATGTGCACCTACAATCTCTGGTAATATTCTCTCTTGCCTATTTACTTCACATTTGCTTCCATTGAGGACAATGTCATATTCAAGTTGGGGGATGAGGGTATTTTATTTTGTGCATTTCTATTTGGCTCATAATTCATGCTTATACCTACTTCACTTGATTGCACTACTTCACTTGATGTTGATTTGTTGCTAATAGGGTGATGATAGTTGCATATGTTAATTGGGAAGCATAGTAGACTTGTATGAAAAGGGTTTATTGGGTAAACACTAGCATGTGATGTTTGCACTAAGATAGTTGTTTGTGGATGTGATATTAGTACACTTATCATGAGTATGCCATGATTCACATGAACACGCTATCATAACGGTGACCTCTCTATTATAATCCCTGGTGTACATCATTAATAATTGCTAGTGTTGCAGGAAAGAATAAATGACTAGCCTTGATTCTCAAAATAAATCCAAAAAAAAAAAAAACCACTTGACTCGTTTGGGTTCATAGCCTCTTTAACTCGAGTTATTAAGCCCGTAAGGGTATCTTCACGCCTAGTGCCCTAAAACCGTCTGGTTTGGGAGTCATTGACCTAATACTTGCTACATGGGTTAATTAAAAAGCTTAAGAGACCTAGGCATTGCACAGTTAAGGAAAATAAGGAAAAAGACTAATTCGGATTCGTAGTCTTTTCAACTCGAGTTATTAAACCCGTAGTCTTCACACCTAGTGCCCTAAAACCATCTGGTTTGGGAGTCATTGGCCCAATGCTTGCTACAAGGGTTGATTAGAAAGCTTAATGGATTAGGACAATGTACAGTTTTTTTTTTTTTTTTTTAAAAAATATTTTGAGAATCCTAGTTACAAAAGTTTAATCTTGTCTGTATATGTTTGGGGTTATTATGAGTTGCATTGGGCTATTATAATGGTTAGTTAACTAGTTATGGAGATTGCACGTTACGGCGGGGTTACTGATGATGTGTTCTACTAACATTCACAAGTACATAGAACTTGATTTGTGCAATACTGAATTGCGGTCTTTACTCAATAGATTCCTTCATACTTGTCTACTGTGTCTTCAATGACTCATTATGTCTTAATATTGCACTGTAGTGGCACATGAGTTAATTCTTGAGTGGTGTAGTGTGATTGATTGTTGCTAAATAGATGTGAATATGTTAATATTTGTGGGTATCATTTCTGGAAATCCTTACGAGACTTTACTCGTCCACTTAGGGTAACTTTGTGGTTTAAAGGCTTGTTGCATATGCTAAATGCAACCGTTCTTCCCACGAAAGAGGAGATAGTTAGATTTTCTTAAGTTTATTTTTTCTTTCTTTGTTTTTCCTTGCTTAAGGACTAACAAGTTGTAAGTTGGGGGATGTGATTAAGGCCGAACTGTGCAATATTGAGGCCGTTAATTAGGATCTCTTAATTTTACTTCCTTAAAAAACTATACATTTTATGCATGTTTAATGTCAATCAGGTTTGTACATAGTTGGAGCATAAAATGAGCAGAAAATTCCTTCCCGCACGTGCGGCCTTTACCTCGTAGCCAAACAGTGCCTTAGCTTCCCGCACGTGCGGTGACCACTCTCACATGTACGGCCGTACCTCGAATTTTGTGCCTCTGTTTTGAACCTTTTTGAAAGAGAACCAAGGTATAAAAGACAAAAAATAGGTGTGAATAGGGTTCTAAAATTTTAAAGGAGAAAGAGGAGGCAAAGGTTTGAAAAAAAGATGATTCTCAATCTTCAAAAAAAATTCCCATGGAGGGTTCCACCTCTTCTCATTCCTCCATGAGTGACTAAACTCTTCTTTTCTAGGGTTTTGATAAAACCCTAGCTATGCAATTAGGTTTTCTTTTTGGTTTTTAATTATGTAAAGGTTTGAACAATTGTATGGTGTTTTAGAAGTTTCATATATATATATTTTCCACTATTTCTTCAAGTATTCAGCTTCCTATGATTGTCAAATGCTTTCCATACAACAATTTTCTATTTTTTCATATTCAAGGTATAAAACGAACCATACTACGAGGGACGAGTCGTGCCGTTATCCTAGTTTAGAGCGAACAATTCGTACTACTTGAGATCGTTCATGCCCGTACATTGAACGTGATGATTTTCTTAATAAATGCTTCGAACTTGTAGTTGCGAAACATTATTCCATTCAAACCATAGCATAATTAATTTCAAATTGAAACCTTATTTACATAACTAGTGGTGAACTCATTGCCCTAGTTTATTTGCTTTGTTTAATTTAATTATTATTAGTTTATGAATCCCTCAATCTTTTTATCAAAATTAATTTAAGAATTTAGCATTTAAATTAGTTTAATTTCACAATTGTCCCTATAGATCGATATCTAGACTTACCATTATTCTAAGGAATTTGGTATAGTTCGGTCATTCAAACCATAGCATAATTGATTTCAAATTGAAACCTTATTTACATAACTAGTGGTGAACTCATTGCCCTAGTTTATTTGCTTTATTTAATTTAATTATTATTAGTTTATGAATCCCTCAATCTTTTTATCAAAATTAATTTAAGAATTTAGCATTTAAATTAGTTTAATTTCACAATTGTCCCTATAGATCGATATCTAGACTTACCATTATTCTAAGGAATTTGGTATAGTTCGGTGTTTAATTTTGGTGTGTAAAACGACCCATTACGCTCTTTGTTTCCCGCACATGCATGACATCAGCAAGTAACCCAGGGGTTGTATCGGTAGGGTCAGGTGTTGCGTCGGTTGGGCTAGGAGTTTCGCCGATTTTCTACAGAGTCATAATGACTCTGAAAAGGTGCCTTTGATTGGTGGTCATAATGAGCATAGAAAAGCTTGTTGGCACATTTTTACTGTTTTCTCTATAAATAGTGCCTCTTGGGTCCACTGGTCCCCTATTTCTGCCTCAACTCACTTTATTGCCTCTATATCTTCTTCTCTCTTTGAACTTCCTCCCAAAGTTTTCTTCTCTTTCTTTATTCTTCTTCATGGCTACCACCAGGATTTTACCTGACAGGGTTGTCCTACCCAGTCCTGAGTGGAGGAGGGCCCCATAATTTGAGGGGCTTGCCGACCCGTTTTAGAAGGCAGTTAACTCTTTTGTTCCTAATGTCCCCTCTCTGGAAGAGCCTGTACTCCCTTTTGGTGAGGCCTCTTTGGATGACGCTGACATGGTGAACCCAGTCTATGTGTTGCAATTTCGTGTGAAGTGCGGTGATTTTCCCCATTCATACATCTATTACCTCACTCACTCAGGCCCTTTGGCAGACTGGTCCTTATGGGTTGATGATAGTATTGCAGATGACGGTTTCAAACAGCGCTTGAGGGATGTCTGTCTCTTTAACGCCATTTTGATTTTGAGGGAGTTGTCCGTGCGCAAGGTACAGACCAATACTGATACGGTTGCTTCCCCTAGAGCCACGACATTCACACCTTCGTGCTGGCTTGAGGGGAGATAACCCCTACTCTTGAAGTTATTGTTGTTCTCCTTCACCTGAGCACCCGTGAAGACTATCCTTTTTAATCCCGCATCCCTTTCGAGAGGCACGAAAATATGGCTTTTGGTACGATCTCAAGACTGGGAAACTACTTCACAACAGGCCCAAAAAAGACAAGACCACCTACCTCTCCCGGCTGAGACACTTTTTCAAGGACATGCAACCAGTTATGGGTGACATTACCGAGGACAGTCGCGACTCCATAGTTGGCCCGGGTGACCACGGCAACTTATACCTGGCCGACTTTGTCAGTTATTTCATCTTCTTTTTTGTCCGCCCCAGCAACCCTGATGAAAGTATCAATCCGCTGGCTTCCCTCTTGCCGTTAAACTTTACAACAGTAGTCAGATCCCTTTGGCTCCCCTCTTCTTAGGAAATCTATACTTCCGTCTGGACCTCATTCACTCGGACATGGAGAGATTCATGGGCCGCTACAATGTATGGAGCTTTGTACACATTCAGTTCCTGACCGCCTTCTTCTACGAGCGGTTCCCTACTATGGGCCCTGCCCCTAAAAAGCATGAGCCCTTCTTCACTGACGAAGTCCTTAATGCAAAGGGTCGTCATGTCCAAGATGCGGAGGGACCACCTGTCACAAGACAAGTACGCCATTCTCTCCCTCGCATCTCTAAATGGTCTGGTGTATGTACCAACAGACCTTTCATGGATTACATTGATAGCATAAAGGAGTGTGTTTTCAGTCCCTTTACCCAGCTTCTTCCAAGCATCTCTGTTGTTCCATTTTATTTTTCAGAGGCTTGTCATGTTGATTTCTCTCTTGACAATGTCCAGGCCAACTCCCTTCTTGTTGCTGCCATGATACGCCCGGGGTTTTTGCCCGTATGGAACGAGGAAGGCATGTCCAGCATCGTCTATCAACCAGCTAGGGTCCTTAGATAGTTTCGCATGGATCAGAGTGTCCCATATGCTCATCCACCTCAAACAGATTTTCATCAGAGTTTTTAGCGGTTTGCCCGTTATTATACCGCCTTACTTGTGGAGGGCTTAGGCCTCATGGAGCTGCCCTCACTCGAGAGAGAAGGTGCTTTCACCCCTAGTAACAGGCTATTTTGGCACCGCAACCTCAACTCTTTCTTCTACTTTTGCAATAGTAGCCCAATCGTCCCTGCGATGGAATCCATTCTGCAACCTGATTTATCCCTTCATCTCCCTTCTAGTAACGGGAAACAGACCAGTGTATTTTGCCGTTTCAAGCTTTTGTCCTTGCCTATAGTAGAGAAGCGTCATCTATTTAGGGCAATGTCTATCCAGCCTCTGCAAGTTGCTCTCCCCCCCAAAAAAAATATATATATATATTGTTTTATTTATACTGCAAGTTGCTCTCCCCCCCAAAAAAAATATATATATATATTGTTTTATTTATAAAATGTATATTTAAATTTTATGAGAAACTTCAATATAGAATAAACTAAAACTAAAAAAATTATAAAACGAAATTTATTTTTATTTTATCATAAATATAATTTTTTTAATTTATTCAATTTTTTTCATCGTGACTAATTAACTTATGACATCTATTTTTATTGTAAACTTAAAATATACAATTAATGGCATAACAACTGTAATATATATATATATATATTCTCCAATAAAATGGTAAAAATTTAATTCATTATAAATTATTTTTTTATACTTTTTGAATAAATTTTATATTATTATTTAATTTTAAAATTATTTTTAATTATTTATTTAGCATGGATTAATATGCTAGTAAGGATATTATTGTAAATTTAATTTTTAAATAATATATTAAACTTATCTTTTCAAATTAATAGGACTAATTAATTTATAAAAAAATTCTTAAAACTAAAGAAATTTTCATCCCCGAAGATATGATTTATAGATACATTGTTCGTAGATATATATCTTTGATTTATATTTATTTTAAAAAAAAAGATAGCCGATAAATAATGAAAGAATGATGATTTTAATATTCATTAATCAAACGTGACCAGCAAGTATTATGGAAGTTTGTGTAGAAAAAGTAGTCGGTGGAAAGGGTGATATTTTTTTTGCCTATAGAAGAAGATTTTCTCTCTCTCCGCCTCCTCCCACCTCTCTCTCTCTCTCTCTCTCTCTAAAATGGATAAAATACAGCACAAGTTGGTGGAAGTGAAGGGGGTGAAGCTTCACGTAGCCGAGATCGGAAGCGGTGCAACGGCGGTGATGTTCCTCCACGGCTTTCCAGAGATATGGTACACGTGGCGCCACCAGATGGTCTCCGTCGCAAGCTGCGGTTACCGGGCAATCGCACCCGATTACAGAGGGTACGGACTATCCGACCCACCACCCGAGCCCGAAAAGGCATCGCTCATTGACTTCGTCACTGACCTCGTCGCGATTCTCGATGTGCTCAACATTTCCAAGGTACTCTATCTATAAACCTCTTCTCTATTCCATCCGGGTCAGTCACTGAGGCCATAATAGTACATTCGCTTGGTAGGACGAATTTTTTTGATGAAAAATATTTGGTAGCCCGAATTTATGTGGCTTGAATGGTTAAAATGTGTCAAAACGACGTCGTTTTACATTTAAAACAACGTCGTTTTAAGTATTTCGAGCTATTCGAACCATGAATTTTCGGTCACCTATCATTGTTGTTTTTTAATTCTGAGTGAATCGTATGTGTTAGGAGTATTGTTCAAATTCACACCTATCTCTCAGTCCGCGAGTTACCGCTATATTGTTCTCTAAGGCTTCAACTCCTTAGGTTTGTTCTTTTTTCAGGGGTAGATTGGATGAAATGGTTAGTGAAGGGATTATTAGTAAGAAGATTAAGAAAAAATTATGTTTGTTCGATAATCAATGGCTAGCAATGGTTCTGGTTCATTTTGAGAGATACGAGTAGGATTAATTATGTAAAATTTCACAAATACCTCATTGTGTTATTATCAAATTTGGACTTATATTAACTAATAAATGAATTATATATTTTAATATTAAAAATATATTTTATAAATATTAAAATTATATTTTTTTGGTACTGCTTTATTTTCTTATATTATTATATTTTTATATTAAATTATTTATACAAAATAGTAGAGTAAGTAAGGGCTAGTTTGGCATGTACTAAATAAGCCAAAAAGTCAAAAAGTCACTATCTTATTTAAGTCACATCATCTTATTTAAATCACATCACCTCTCTAACACATCACATCAAACCCAACCCAAACCCAACCCAAACCCACCAATAAGTCAAAAAGTGCACTTTTTTAAGGACATCCCAAACCAACCCTAAATTAGGTAAGATAATAGAGGGTAAAATAATAAATCTCCTCTAATCCAAGGGATTACTAGTCTCATCATGGAGATATATTAAAAACCTAACGTATTGTGGATCATCTTTTCCATTTTACAAACAAACACAATATTAGTAAAACTAAGGGTCCATTTGTTTTCAAAGATGGAATAGAGGGGATTGATAGTGAGGGATTGTTAGTGAGGGAATTAGTAAAATTGTATTTGTTTTAATGATAGTTGTTCGTGTAAAAATTGTTAAATTAAATAAAAAATAATAATAAGACAAATTAAATTATGATTTTACTTAACAAAAAAATAAATTAAACATTAATGTTAAAAAAAATGCCCAACATGTAAAAAGAAATATAATAATAATTTGCAGTTAACCGGCCGGATGACCGGTAACACCCTAAGCCGAACAGACTATTTTCTAATGCCACCTCCGTAAGCGAGACTACGAATCCAGAGCTCCAAAACCAAAACGAACATGAGGCATCCTCACTGTTCATCATTCACAATTCGGAGTGGACTGTGATAGAGGAAAACAAGCGTGGCCTAACATTCATCCTAATCTAATCCCATCTCCTATGAACCAAAACAAACGGACCCTTAGAGTCTAGTCCAGAAGTCACCTATGTGGTTAGGTCTTCTCTTCTCTGTTTAAGAAAAATGCTTCAGCCCCACATGGTCTCATCGTGGTTCTTTTAATTCCTTTGCATGGCATCAAAGTAAAGGACGAGGTTAGGGTCTGACTCTTATATGTAGCTGAAAAAATTTATATTATTATATTAAAAGTGAATGCTGAAATTGGTGTTGGGATAATTGTAATTCAGTGCTATTTTTCAAAGTAAATTATTATAAAATTTATCAATTTTAATAATTAAAGATATAAATTTTTCCATAATTTTACAATTATGTTTGGTGTCTTACCAGCCCTTAAGTCTTTGACATGTCTTTAAAGTCTAAATATTTACTTGCTTCTCTTTATGGCATGTGGGGAAATTCTAATATAAACCCTTTTAAAAAAGATGTATCATATGCACTTTAGTTATGTCATTTACATCTTTAATTATGACCAATTTTTTTTCTTTATTTATGACATTATTTTAGTTATGACCTATGAATTCTTTAGTTATGCCTCGTGTTGTGTTTAATTATGACATTTTTTCTTTTTTTTAGTTTCACAGTTCCGGTTACCGCAAGCGTTACGCTACGGCCTTTACACCCCGCAACCGCAACCGCGTCACTGCCACCGTTACGGTGACCGCAACCGCTTTTCAGAACCTTGGTTATGCCTCATGTTGTGTTTAATTATGACATTTTTTCTTTTTTTTAGTTATGATTCGGAAAATTAAAATTATGCTATTTTTCTTTTTAATTATATAAAGGATATGCACTATAGTGTTTCCCATGCCATGTGTCTTTAAAATTCAAGCATTTACTTGTTAAAGTCTATACATTTACTTGTTTCTCCTTATGGCATGGGCTATGTTACCGGAACGTATTGGTACGCACGTTCCGAAACATGGTACACTTTCGTTCCAAAACAGTAAATTTAGCGATCCGAAGCGATCCCAAAAGTTTTTTTCAATATATTTCCTTAAATGTTACCTTTGGAGACGAAAATAAAATATATAAACTAAAATCTAAGGTGAGTTAAGTTTTGACTAGTCAAAAACATCAAAAATGGGTAATGATTTTCATAGAAATGATTTGCTAAATGAAAAAAATAATAATAATATTATTAGAAGAGTATATTATATTCTTAAGTGTAATATATATAAGTCTATTCCTATCGTACCACATTTTAGAACATGTGACGTATCACGTTCTTATTCCCGTTCCATATACCGGAATGATCAATGTTCTAGGTAACATAGGGCACGTGTTCTTATTTCTCTTTTTAAACTCTTCACTTGTTTTTATGCCACGTGTCCTTATTTCCTTGATCTAGAGTTTAGAAAAGAAATATTTACCACTTGAGCAATAAACATATTGTAATATCATTTAAATTCTTTATCATTTATTTGAATTGCGCACGCATTGTGTGCCAACTGTTAGTAAATAAATAAGAGAAGCTCCTTAGTCTTTAGTTTCTAAGTTCCCTAGTTATATTATACAAGTCTGGAGAAACCTCAAAGCGGTAGGTATAGTGGCTTGAGGTTTGGGGCTTAGGAGTCTGCCCTCTCTAGGTCTTAGGTTTGATTCCTCCAATCAACATAAAACCTTTGAGGCCATGGACCATAAGGAAACCTATTTTGGAACGCTTGTTCAGGCTATAGGGACTTAGTCTGGTACACGTAAGTTGGCCTAGGATACCCTGCATAACCAAAAAAAAAAAAAAGGTTGGGAGAATAAACCCATAAGGGTTTGGCTTAATGGGTGGAGAGGTAACCAAAGGGCTTACCATCTAAGATATTGCAAGTCAAATTCCAAGGAAGCCAAACATCCCAAACCTTAGGGCCATTAAAGGTTTGTCCGATTGTTAACTTCAGGGCTCCGATATCAGCCGAAGTGCGCATAAGCTAGTTCGGAGACCCAGTTATCACAAAAAACAAACAAACAAACACTTGGTAGAAATACATGCTAGATTTGAAGAACTTGGTTGCTAAACATTCATGTCAGATGAGAGTTGAATGGAATTTAAGGGCCTTTAATTTCGAACTAGTTTTTGTTGTTGAAGACTCAAAATCATCAAACACTTAAATAGATCTCTTGTTTTGCATACAGGTTTTTCTTGTTGGTAAAGACTTTGGAGCCCCAATTGCTTACCTCATTGACATTTTGCACCCAAAGAGGGTCTCAGGAATAGTATCATTGGGTATGCCATTCATGCCCCCACGTCCTACGCACAATAGCCTCCCGGAAGGCTTTTACTGCTCAAGATGGAAGGTTTGTAGTAATTATTCTCGTTTACTTGTTTAGAATTGAAGAACCAATCTTTGCTTCTTGCAAATTTATTTTAATGAACTTCATTATAGGAACCTGGACGAGCTGAAGCTGATTTTCGTCGCTTTGATGCTAAAACAGTTGTTCGGAACATCTACATCCTCTTCTCCAAAAATGAATTACCAATAGCTCGGGAAAACCAGGAAATTATGGATATGGTGGAACCATCTGCTCCTTTACCCGCGTGGTTCACAGAGGAAGATCTTGCAATCTATGGCGCTTCGTATGAGAAATCGGGATTTCAAACTGCATTGCAAGTTCCTTATAGGTAAGTGGATTTTTGTCATTTGAAAATGAGCTAGCAAGTGATCCACCCTAGGCACCTACCATATTATGTTTTCCGATTTTATGTTTGCATCTCACAGGGCATGTGCCAATGGAAGGCCCAGTGGCTAACCGCTGAGGTTTTGGTGGATTGGTTCCGCCAAGATCATAAGCAAAGAAAAAGGTTGGGTTTGGGTTAATAAAGTCAGTAATATGGTAAAAGACTCCTTCCTCCGGCATCTATCTGGTGAGCTAGGGTAAAAGCTAAGACAAGTACCCACCCCCTTGAGAGCTGTGCCAGCTGAGATGGAGCTGGAAGCCAACCTATACTTTCTTTGGGCTTGCCACAACATAGCATAGAGTTGCAAGTTGCAACCATTATTTGACTCTAGGGTAAAATCCATTTTAGCCCTTGCGCTATGTTTTTTTGAAGTACTTTTTGTTCTATCTTTTAAAAATAGTCAAATATCTCCACATGTCTAAATAGGCTTACCTATTTTGAGAGTTGGGATGAAATTTTTTTAGTGAAAGTCAAATTCTAATGTAAAAAGATAAGTTGCTCTTATCTTCATCTTCCACCTACCTAAATCCTAACCCACTCGCCCACCCACCCCTCCAGCCACTACCCGCCTCGTCTTCCACCACCTGCCACCTTCCCCTCCACCTCCACCCCTCTCCCTCCCTTGATGCTGTGTGAGATGAGGTGCTCCTGTTGTTTTTAGTGAGTTGACTCATTGAGTAATTGGTTTAAAAATATAATTGATTTTTGAAAACTCATTTTTAATAAGAGGGTGGTAACATGGTGAATTCATCTTTTCATTAACAGAGTCAGGTATTGCACTTTAGTCAAAAACCATGTGATGATATTTTTATTTAGCTATTTTTAAAAGACGGGGTAAAATGCTCCGATGTCAGGCCATACTTCAAGGAGTAAAATGGATTTTCCTCAATCCAATAAAGTGAAGCATCCTATTAGTATATGCCTATTTCAAATTTTCAGTACAATCACAGAACCTTCAAACTTGTATTAAGATTTTGATAATTGACCTGTAGTTTTGGTACATATCACTAAATTAAGTAAAATTTATCCAATGACAGGTCAATGCACAAACCACCAGTCAACATACCAGATCTGAAAATCGAAGTCGAAGCTCCGACACTACTGATCATGGGGGAGGAGGACTATGTCTTTAAAATTCCAGGACTAGAAGACTACATAAGAAGTGGAGAGGTGAAGACATTTATCCCTAAGTTGGAGACAATCTACTTGCCCGAAGGATCACATTTTGTTCAGGAGCAATTTCCTGATCAAGTGAACCACCTAATTCTCACCTTTCTCAGTACCCATAGTTGATTTACAAAGATACGTTGTCATTAAATTTGAAGTGTGTTTGAAGGTCAGATATAAGGCCAGTCTCCGTTGCATTCACATGGAGATTTTTTTACGTTGATGATTAACTCGACTTTGTGTGTGACTTGCAATATTTGTATCTTCTAATTAATGGCACTTTTTATACCAAATTCAATCAATATTTTGCTTGCGATGGTAAGTAGTATAAACTTGCTTTGCTGGGTGTTCGAGTGTTGACATATGTACAATTCAAACTTTCTTTTTTTTTTCTTGAAAAGGGTATTTTAGTTATTTTGCACTAGAATAAATTGTCTGTTTCTTTTGGATTGTAGGGAGAGGATTGGAATTCATAGTGTAGTGGGACTTATTAATATCATGTTTGTTTTGAGAGATGGAGAGAGGATTCATAATCCCCTCTTGACTACGAATTCCCTTGGGGAGGGGATTAGGATAAGCTCGTAAGACTTTGTATTAGAAATTAGTCTATCGAATTATTATTATTTTTATTTGTTTTATTTATTTTTTTATTTTTTACATGTTGGCCATTTTTTATTTTTTTTTTGAACATTCATGTTTAATTTTTTATATTTTTTGTTAAGTAAAAATCATTGTTTTATTTGTTTTATTTTTTTCTTGAAATTTTTTATTTTTTTATTTTTACATGTTGGACATTTTTTTTTGAACATTAATGTTTAATGTTTTTATATTTTTTTATTTGTTTTATTATTTTATATAAAAATAATTTAACAATTCCTACACCAACAACTATTATCAAAATAATTACAATTTTACTTAATCCTCTCACTGTCAATCTTCTCATTATTAATCCTCTCACTATGAATCTCCTCCATTCTACCTTTGAAAACAAACCGACCTAAAGGACATGTTAACCCAGCAAAATAAAAGGATCCCAAAATTCAAAGTGAAATAAGAAAAGAAAATGTCTCGTAGCTCAAATTTTGTGACTCAAAAGTGGCTCAAATGACCAAAACGACGTCGTTTTGGCCATTTTTATGTTGTTCTGTACTCAAAACGACGTCGTTTTGGCCATTTGAGCCACAAAATTTGAGCTACGTAGCATTGTCGAATAAGAAAATAACAATGCTAGAGTGCCATAATTTTTGTGGCCACAATGGCTCAAAACTGCCAAAACGACATCGTTTTGACTTGTTTTGCACTCAAAACGACGTCGTTTTGACAGTTTTGAACCATTGTGACCACAAAAATTGTGGCCCTCAAACATTTTCCATAAGAAAAAATGTTTCTCTTTTCCCTAACCTTCCAAAATTGTGTTTAGATTATAAATGTGGGTAAGGATTTGAAAAGTAACGAAGAAAAAATGAGCGAAATTTAAATAAAATATAACTTTTTCCTTTCTCTTCCCCCTTCAAAATTATTACTCAAATCCATATTTCAAACTCACCCTAAGCCTAAGCCTAAGCCTAAGTTTGGATTTGTAAAGGGTTAAAAAATAAGGCTCTATTTGGTACAACTCTGAAATATTAGTTTCAAGGCTTATTTTACATATGATGTTTGTTTACGAGTTTTAAAAATTAATTCCACACTCACTTTTGAAAACTCTGTCCAAGGTAAAAAAATTTAAGCTAACCGATCGTCCCACCGGATGCCCTACCGAATGTCCAACCGATCATCCGGCCAGTTAACTGGAATAATGATTTTTTTTTTTTTTGCAATTAACACATGTTAATTTTTATATATTCAATAAAAAATATTTTCCAAATTTTTTATATTTTTTTATGAGATTTGAATAAAATTTTAAATTGTGTGTTTAATTATGAGTTGTAAATTTTTGTATTAAATATCATGTCACATCAAAAATTTCCCACTCAATTCAAAACTCATTCACCAAACAACTTTTCCTCACTCAAATCATAATTTCAAAACTCAAAAATTTAAAATACAACTCAATTCTCAAATCATATTTAAAAACCATACCAAACGCAACCTAAGATTTTACCTAATTAATTTCTTTCTTTTCTTTTCTTTTCTTTTTGCCTCCATAATTGAAGATCGAAAGCTAAATGTGATGTCAAGAAAGAATTGGGTACTTTATGTTCAATTGACATCCGGATACCATTTCCATGCATAAGAAATGCCAAGAAGCCAACATTCAGGCTGCTCTTTTTGTACATTTTACCTGTTTGATTCCCAGAGGGAGTTGGTTCTTGAGCTATAAATCTAGAACATGCCAAGGGATGACATTTGCTCCTCAGCCAAACACTTTTCTAGGTCTGTCAAAAGTTCACCAGAGAAGATTGATAAGATTGATTGATTGATCCCTAAATCTTAAAGAACACTGAACACCCCATCTGATGGGAACTCTCAGTTGATTCATTTCTGATCACAAGAGGCAACAAGACAAGTTTAAAACAACAGTGGCAAACTACTACTATAAAACAAATACAAATTACATTTAACAAAGCACGGAGAGAAACTATATTTTGCTATAACTTCTGTATACAAGCATCTCAGCCTCCACCAAATACGGTGAATTGGTACCCGCCAAAAATAATGTTAAAAAAAAAGGGCAAAAATTACAAACAAAAAAAGTCAATCAGACTATATAAGGCAGGCCTACGGTTAGTTTTGCAGCTCGTGCAGCAACAATCCCATCTCCCATGGGTTTATCATGTAACGACAAATAGTTGATCTGAGGGAAGGTTGAAGCTGTACAAATTCTCCACTCCCTTAGGCTTCTCAATGCATCCTACATGATTCGATTACTTCAAGCACAGTTGAATGGGTCTCGGGCGAGATCATGTTTAGCGACAAATGAAATTCCTGTGAGGGGAAAAAAATCATAATATCACAAGCATCAATGTAGTCATTCAATAAGAGGTAATTGGAATGCACAACCCCTTTAAACAATGGCATCTCCTACATTGATCCTTAACTGTGAAGTTCATTTGGTTCATGTTTTGTTTCATCTGGTTGGTCAAATCCATTATGAGAATCATTTTCCATAGGATTGGGAACCATTCTAATTTTATGATTTGAACCATTCATCCCATAGAGCCTTTCCAAGCAAATCATCCATGCAAAAAATTAAGCTGATCGGATGGCAGTAACCATATGATCATATCACATTTATTTTCAAGAATTGGACAGTCTATTGTCAAAATTACACTTGCCATTCATTTGTTTGAAGACAAGTAATCCGATCAAGTGACTATTATTGTTCGATCAATTTGAACTTTTACATGAATGATGCTCGGAGGGCACTACAGGAGGGCAGGAATTGTTATTTGCTATCTTCATGTTTTACCTACTATAATCCTCCTCATCACAACAGAAATACATACCACAAATCTCTCCAACACAGGTACAAGAATTGCGAGTTTGTAACCCGGGAGACATTTGGCAATAGCATCCCGTATGATCTTGCTGCAAAGATGCAAACGAGAATTTTATTCCGAAAATATACAGAGAAATTATCTAGGGCAATAAAAATCCTTTTATGAGTGCACAAACCTTTCAGTTGAAAGGAATGCAAGAAGAAGAGCTGCATAAGCTTCTACAATCATCTTCTCAGCCTCTTTCGCTTCCTGCAACACAGCTGCCTCATCTTCCTGCAAAATGCAAGATAATTGGGATTTTCAGAAACATTTGGTATAACCAAATTACTAATGCATGCAGCTTTCTCATTTTTACATAAATCAATATAGTTTACAATTTTCTGTTTAACCTACCATCCTCAATTTTCCCTTTATTTCCGTAGATTGCCATCAGCTCAAACAGTAAGTACCCAAAAATGCTAAATTGACGCACGTAGAAGTTTACTAGCCAGAAATAAACCCAATTGACAAATGCACCTATCCAACAGTTGAATTTCTCTATAACGAAATTTTACAAGCAAAGATCATTCACCAAAAAGTACTTCTTTCTTAGATGTGGCAAACTCAACCCGGACCTGTGAATCTGCCCAATTACACCCAATTGAAACCTGATTAAACTCGTCCAAATCCATAAACGGGTTTAAATGGATTGCATCTTGCAAACCTAATTAAAATTGGGTTTAAATTAGTTGAACATGAGTACCCATCTAAACCTGTTTAAATGAGTACACCAATACCTCCACCCCACCACTTCATTCTAATCCTTTAACAATATGTGCACACATACATACAAAAACAACTTAGAGAGGGAGAGGGAGAGAATGAGAAAGTAGCAGCAAAACCGAAATGATGCAAACCCGAGAAACATTACCACTAGTGGTTTGGAAATTGAGGCAAATGTTGATGGCTATCTCTCCCTCTATCCCTCTCTCCTCTCATTGTATCTCTCTCCTATCCTTCATCGCTATATGAATCACCCTTCCTCCTTCCTTATCTTCGTTGAAGGGTTGTCAGATCGGGTGAAAATGAAAATGAAAATGACAAATTTTTTGAACTTACCATTTTTTAAAATATAAAAAAACGGAAGCACAAAAAATAAAAACTATACGAAATAGACCCTAGATTTTCACAACATTTTCTTTTCCTTTAACTTATGAGCTACCTTAACAAAATCTTTTAATAAAAAAAGAAAAGAAAAGAAAGTTGAATCACACTGAAATTTTATTACATGAAGATCGATTTACTTACCCAAGTCAGGACCTTTTCTTCTCCAGCTGCCTCGCCTGCCCCTTGGTTGGCCAAAAAGATGGAACATAGCAATGGAATCACATCTCTGCTCCTCTCCACTTCTAGACCTTCCACACTAGGCAATGAAACACTCGTTCCTGCAAGCCGAGATCTATAGCAAACCATACCAATAGTTTAGACTTTTGTGGAAATGTTAAAACTAACAAAATTATCTGGCTTAGAAGCATGTCAAGGAATAAAATAGATAGATTGCTGGTATCACTCACCACTAATGCAAAATCTTCAATATGGCATGTTCGAAAGTAGCACCATTCACTTTCCCCCCACTTTTTTCCCTTTCTTTTATCCCCCCTTTTTGTTTTTTTGTTTTTTTATTTGGAGGTGGGTGGGACAAGGGTAGTAACACCCCATTAAGAAATTTTCAGTGTAGTAAAAGTGTCAAACATTCATTTATTTATTAATTTGGTAAGTGAAAACATTACAGTGTGGAAGACTCAACCACCTCTCCCGTACATACAGTTCTCACTGCAAACATGCAGAAGCATGTTGAAATTCATTGTCACAGGGATTTCATACAGGAAACACTCAAATCATATCACTTTCAATTTAATGAAGCACCAAAAAGAGGGATAGTGGATGAAGTAAATAGGGAATGCTATAATAGTAATGATCTGTCGAGAAGGGGATAACAGAGAGAGAAGAGAAAAGGGAGCTAGCACGCCTTGCCCCCTTATATATACTTGTTAAGCCGTTAGTCCTCTGGCAAGAGGAAACATCAATATGTCCGAGGAGTAATGATGATGGGAGGGGGAGGGGGAGGGGGGCATAGAAGAGGAAGAAAAGACGAGAGAAGAAAACAAGAGAGAAGCAAGGACTGTCAAAGAGAGACTCTAGGTAGCAAAAATTCTTTGTGATCAATCCCAATCTAAATTTGACCTAATCAAGGTGATTACATCAGCCCTATAAATAAAAATTAAGAAATACAAGCAAAATCAAATTTGAAAAATAGAATCATAAATAAACTCTAATTGCAGAAGAAAATAAAATTCCCAAAAACCAGAAGAACTTCAATCTTCATCACTTTCCCTCTAACGAGGTTAAGACTTTTCAAGGATGGGGTTGTGGAATAGCATTCTAAAAGGATGGGTGGATTTTTTGAAGTTAATGGTTTTTGGATTGGGAATGGTTAGATGGTGAGCTCTTGGCATGAACATTGGTGTTGGGAAGCTGCTTTGAAGTCAGCTTTGTCTCACATTGTCGTTGACAAGGATGCAATGATGGAAGATTAAAATTACTTTCCCGTGAATGATTTGTTGTGTTATCCTCACGGGTAGTTTAATCACTTCCTAAGAAGCATGGACACAAACACGTGACATGATACGGACACACCGACACACTAATTTTCACAAAAATACAAGACACGACACGCAGGAGACATATGAAATATATAATTTTATATATTTATTATCAATCATATATATATGTGTGAATATATCATTCAAAAATAATAAAAAATGCAATATGACACTAATTCTTATAAATTTATTTGGTTTTTTTTTTTATTATTGTATCTCAAGTTATTTTGTTCAAACTTATAATCATTTTGACATGTGTCTAATCAATAGAGATGTATGTTTAAGCGATAGACGCTTGTATCTTCCAAGTGCCTAAGTCTTTAAAAAAAATTAAAAAATAGGACACATTTTGACAAGTGTCGGACACGTGTGCAGAATTGTCGATGTCTGACAAGGACACATCACCTTCTTAGAAGTGTCCGTGCTTCTTAGATCACTTCAAAGAGTGCCAATGTGTCACGGGCCGACTCCTTTAGAGGCGCAACGGATCAATTTTGCGCCCATGTGGCGCTCAAACTCCACCAAGTTTAAGCCCGCCATAAGCTCGTTGACAAATCAAGTGTTAATAATCTCACCCGTTTGAACATTAGCGCCCAATGCTTTGTCAAGCAAAACAACTTCACAAGGAAGCTCCGTCTTCACCCGAATGCCACAAGTAGGCCTGACGCCCCAAGTACACCAAGTACGACATAAGTCGCTTCATAGAGCCAAGCTTACCTCAAGCAAGGTGCTCGCCCAACTTAGGTTCATGTCATCAAGGTGCCTAGACACGCAACAATGTACTAACGAAGGCCCTCAACTTAGAAGACAAGCCAACATTGCATGTTGGGTCTTTGATAGCATCTCGAAGTGCCATAGGGTCTAGCATGCCTCAATCGATGCATATCGGATGGCCAAACGGTCATGCAAAGCCCACAAGCCACCGAGGGTCAATCTCTTGCCCACAGCGTAATCCTCGTGCCAACACGTGTGTTAGATTCCACCTAAAGCCATTGCGCACCTTAGCGTTGCACCAACGTGTAGCATGAGTAAGGCAACGTCTCAATCCATAGCTCGCTTGTAACATAATATAGTCCCTCAATGGACTTAGTCAATTCATAGCTTGATGCCTTCATTTAATAGCCCACATATGCGGTGTTGCCTTCCAACCACCTAGCTTAAGGCACGGGATCCCCTCGTGCAAGGTTGAATCCAAACCAAGCACTTGAGTTGACACACGAGGCCTTTCGTGGTGCCTCGATAGCCCATTCGGTCCAAAACGAGTCCCAGAGATGCCATATTGCGTGGCCTAATGGAAACATCGTGGTGAACCTCTCCCTCGGGAAGCAAGCGCAAGGCCTACATTATTGCACTGTCCACGGGGCTCCCAAACCCACGTGGAGACTCTAGACACACCTCTGGATGCCTAGAGCCTACCCTTGAGTTGCCCCAAGGTTGCTCACTTGAAGCCCAGTTTGGGCCGGGAGGTAGGTAGCTAGCACGCCTTGCCCCCTTATATATACTTGTTAAGCCGTTAGTCCTCTGGCAAGAGGAAACATCAATATGTCCGAGGAGTAATGATGATTTTTCATAAATTCCACAAGTTGAGAAAAATCACGAAACTTGGTCGGGAAAACACTTCCCCCAAGACCTCTTTCCAGTAAAAATTCAACTCGAAACTCCTTCATTTGGATGCCCAAACAACGCACCAAAATCTGCACTGTTGGCTGCTGTTTCTGGCTGCTGCCGCTGCTGGCTGGCTGCTGCAGCTGCTGCCTGTTGCTGCCTGCTGTTGCTGGCACACTGGCTGCTGGCTGCTGGCAGCTAGCACTGGCTGTTGGCATGGGCTGCGGCCTTGCTACTGCTGGCTGCTAGTGGACTGCATGCCTTGGACTGCTTGGGGCCAATGTTGGGCCACGTTGAGGCACTTCCAACGGCTACTCTTGAGCAATCAAATGGCCACACCACCACATCACGGAGTTGGCCTTTGCAAGGCAACCCTTGACACAATGCCCCGAGGTGAGGGCCATCCAGAAGTTTGAGGTGAGGTCATTCTACAAGGTGCTGTCTAGCAAGGGTACTACAAGTTTTCCTTACATAGGTATTTAGCATGCTAGGGTGCCTGCTAAAGTTGCTTCGTGTTTTCCTTTTATACATGGTCAGCAGCAAAAGCAATGTTGACCATTGACTGCTGAGTGAAAAGGGGTATGATTCTTACCAACAAGCATTTTATGTTAAGAAAACATAAGAGTTTGTCAATCACCTAATACCGCACTATACTACTGTTGCTATAGAGCATTGCAGAATACTATTAACCCTTTTTCGGGTGCATTAGTTAATGTACACAGATTGCTGGGGGGGCACTGTCGAGTTGGCAAAGCAGCCATGGCAGGCTGTGCCTTTGTCTACTCTCAGGTCAGACAAACAGAACAGGAGAAGCTTCAAAAATGTCTACTCATATTTTTTTTTTTTTTTTTAAATAAGGATGAGTTTAAACTTGCATACCTTCACAATCAAATTTTCAAGAAATTTTTCAAAAACTAAAGATGCTGGAGAAATTAGCATCCACATTTTATGGGAATCAAGTAATTGAAGTGGTAGTGAAATGATCCAAGAATCTGTCATTCAAACAATGAAATTGGCAAATAACTCATGTTTTTATATAGATAAATAGCTTTATAGCATAAAATTGAAGGGCATGCAAGATAAAATCAGATAAACATATCACTAATTTCTGTACTAACAGCTTCAATTTACGATAAAATGTAAGTTGGTGAATTTAATGAAAAGAAAATTTTACCTGTTGTGGCCATCTTTCTCTACCAGGTTTACAAGCAAGCCCAAAATAGCAACAAGAAAATCTAATTCTTGATCAGAGAGAAGGCTGTCATTCTGATGGTCAACCTCAAGACTAGACTTGGATGACATGGTATCATTTCTTACACCACTGAAGGGAGGCAAAGATGAACTGAATGATGGAAAGTGGCCAGCAATTAATGACGACAAGGTTTCCAGTCCTCCACAGGCAGCAATTTGCTGACAGCCCACAGGGTTGTCATTTGTTAAGTTCATCAGGACCTGCAACAAGGAGGATAGTATAAGTGTTGACAATCATCACATGCATCACATCCGCGTCAAACAGATTCTCAATAAAACATATACCCTCGATCAGAGAGAAAACCAGACACCAGATTAAAGAACTTAATGGTTTATGTAATATCATACTTCCCTCATACAAACCAAATAAACAATCACTGGAATTGGGGAACCGAAACAATTATATTACAGCTGAAACCTCATAAGACACTTGTCTACCAGACCACCACTTGGACAGTAGGGAGCTTAGAAATCTAATAATGCAAGAAATGGACCTTTTGGCTACTGTTTGGTAGGTAGCATCTAAACATGAATCAAAAGTAAAAACTAGGGTATCAACAAGATAAGGGATTAGACAAACCCCACCTGCACTCCATTGCAAACTAATTTTAGACGGATTGCAAGTTTAGAAGAAAACAGTACATTAATATATTGCAATGACAAACTTTAAATTATGTCAAATACCTTGACAGCTGTAAGCAGGCAGTCTGCTAGAAGGTTGGATTTTTCTTCATCAAGAGCAGATGAACAAGAGACATCAGAATGATGATTTTCTGGATTACTTGATTCTTCTTGGCTCAACATCAATTGGGGTTGACACCTATCTTCATGTTTTCTAAGCATTGTCCTGCTGCTTCGACTTTCAGAAGCTTTCTTTCTCCCAGACAGTAAATCCCACTTAGAGGGTTCAAATTCATCATCTTGAAAAGCAAAAGGATCCTGACTATCTTCAAGAAGTTCAAAGCTTGGATCTTCAGCAACCTTACATCTTTTTCCTAGACCAAATTCCATCGCTGAAACATTACTATTGATAGGTGATCCACTATATGAACTCCTTGATGTTCCACTGCATGAACCGAAAGTAGAAGAATTGACTCTCATTTTCAACAAGCAAGTATCAGCTGCAGATGCAGTGGTACTTTTAGAAGTTGACTTAGAAATTCCTGCGCGGCCGGCAGACAACCATTGACTATTCTGAGATATACTGAAACTCTTCTGAGAATCTGTGCCAGAGCACCTTATAGAAGAACATATGGATATAATCCCATCACTGTCCACTGAAGATTTAGAAAGAAAATCATAAACCTAACTCAATACAATTCTATTCAAGATTAGCGAGTCATGACATTTTCTGTTAAATGGTAGCTACAATTGTGTTCAAATAAACATAAACTACTTCAAGTTAGAATTTCAATTTCAACAGATGGTTTACATAATATGCAACGGCCTTCCACAAATGAAGGTTTCAGCTACATGATTAGAGACCTCTGCGGCACTTAACAAGGCATCCCTTTTTTTTCTTTTTCTTTTTTTTCATTTGTTTAGGTAATGGCCATTTTATTCCATTGAAATTTATCTCGACCCACTACAGATAAGATACATCAATTACAATGACATGGTGCTGCAACCTGCAAGTTACATCAGACCTTCCTGTCCAAGCCTGTTCATGACTGCATCCTGAAAAGCTAATGTTGCTGTAAATCATCTCCTTGCAATTGTTATAATACTTTCCTTTTTTTATTATTATTTTATTATTTTTGCTTTTTTTTAAAGTAGTTTGTACTACATATTCTTTAAAGAATAATGCCACGAAGAGAGGGAGTACATTGAGATGTCATAGTGTACCTTTATGGCCTGCCAATAAAGGCATTTCAGAAGCTTGATCAGTCCCATTAGGAAGATTACAGAACTTTTCACTATCCAAATTGCCCGAAGAATTTCTAGATAAAGAAAGACCTGGACATCAATATCACAATTCATCAGAATGTAAACTAGATTAAACAAAATATGAATTGATGTATGTGACATTACTGACATAGGAGACCAACCCAAGAACAAATTGAAAAAGTTAACATCCAGCACTATTAGATACCTGAGAGTATGTTGATGACACTTATAATGAGTTTTGTGAAAGTCCGGGGAGAACCTTGATGGTTGAGGTTCCCTTTCATTTCAAGCAAATGACTCTGCACAAAAATAATTGCCAAAAGTAAAACAAATGATAATGCAAAAATTAACAGCAAGTTTACTTAACCATGACTTAATCTCTATATGTGCGTGTGTTTTCTTTCTTCTTTTTTTTTGTTTTTTTGTTTTGGGGGGGCTATGAGGGAAGCATATTCAGTTTACCTGATTGTCCATACTTAGGAATGTGGCATTTTCCATAATTTTCAAACATTTTAAAAGCAGCACCAAACTTTCTAGATCCCCATTGTCATTTGACTTCTGCATTAAGGAACTTTGTTCTAACCAACTCTGCAAAACCAGTCAACAACCAAAAAAGTATAAATTCCATCTAATAAAGCCAGCATCTGAATCATGGTGTATTTGTTTGTTAGTAGATTCATGCATAATCATGGAAAACATATATCAGAAACAAGATTCAACTATAGATAAGACTATGGCTCATAAAGGCTACATAGCTAACTCTTTTCGTAAGTTATTGAAGAATGAACTTCTAGATACCAAAACAACAGATGTTTGTATGAGAGTAAACAAATAATTTAGGAATCATACGCCTTAAGCACATGATGCAGGTTTACACGCAGTTATACAGTGACACTAGCACCACCTTGGTGAGTTCTGGAAATTATAACTAATAGAAAGGAGCATTAGCTAGGCAATCTCATCACTCAAAATATAAGCAAATTATCATTTATTATTTTGGGATTTTGAATTGGAGGTCCTAAATATGGGACTAATACAATAAAGGTCATGTTAGATTGCCAGATTAAGTTGATTGGGATTATGAGTACGGTGCTATTGAGTAATGGGATTACTAGGGTGGTGGTATTAGATTGAAGATGAATGATAAATTGTGTTTGTTTGTGCACTAGTGTGGTGGTATTGATTTGTTGGGATAAAATCTATGAAACCACCTAAAGAAAACCCCCCTCCATTATATCTAATCTTTTTCATTTAGTTGCTACTACTAAATAACACAGAGGATATTGTGTCAATCTACTTTCGGTTTGGAGAAACAAAATGCAGAGCATCTGCATTGATGAGGGTAACATTTCACAGGGTCAAAAAAGTCTTTAAAGCAGTAATACATGGGAACAATCCACAGTACCAATCCGGTTCAGTGTTGGCCAACCAAAACATGCAATCCGTGGGACCCATATACTAATACAATCCTACCACTTAGCCTGGAAAACAAACATGGCCCAAGTCTCATCCCTTTTCTTATAACCCGTGAAGTCCCACTGACCAACAAATTACCAAAACACCCCGCATTATTAGAATCGTTGATAGAAAGGTTGTTGTTTTTGTCCCAAAACATAATTTTCAACATATATTAACTAGAGAAAAAATTGAAAATCATTCAACCTTTTCTGTAAGTTAATGTTTCATCATATCCAAGTTCCAATCATTCATTTAAGTTGTTTCAATTCTGACATTAAAGCACAGTAAATGAGATCCAATAAACATACAGGCTACCACCTCCATAACAGAATGACAATTCCGGGAGACCTCAAAAACTGCATCAAGTCCTCCAAGCTCTCGTAACTTTTCCTTGAAGTTGCCTCCTGTCTTCCTTACAGTACCAGAGGTGTCTGAACAAATGCAAACCACAAGAAAGACCACACCATAACACAATCAGAAAAGGACACAAGATGGAATGGCAATATAGGAATCATCAAAGATAAACAACCCACATTAATTCAGTCAAAACACAAAGGATTTTCTAGTTTCATAAATACGAATTTCCTGTAATTTGGATTGCCTGAACTGCTGAACTCTTATGGTTTTCTTGTTGAGCCGAGTTTATGCAAGATATAGTGGTTGGAATAGACCAGATAAAAAAAATTTAATTGGATCAAACAAGGAGTTAATATGTTGGTCTAGCACAATTATTATATAAAACAAGTTGCAATGTCACAATTATTATATCCATTGAGGAAGTATCCTGCCGAAATCACAAAATGCCACAAGAGAACAATGGATGGTCAAACAACATAAAGAAGAAAAGAAACACTCTTAACATGTGTAATTTGTAGGAAAATTTTGGTTGGTAAGACTTGTACTTTGACAAGCAAGAAAAGATATTGAAGTTGCGATCTAGGTGGTCTTGCTTGACAATCAAAATTCTCTCAATTTTACACCATTAGATGATGAAAATGCATCCATGACCAAAGTACTTATCAAGGTTGTTAAAATCGGGATCCTAAGTAGGATCGGTGAGAAGGTCTGGTGGATCGGATCGTAGGATCGGATCGAGGATCGTAAGATCCTACTTTCTATTAAAAAAAAGGTAAAAATTAAAATTAAAATGATACATACTAAAAATAAGGTGAAAATTCATAAAATCTACGATCCTACTTGCGATCCTACCTACGATCCTATTTGATCCCATACGATCCTACACGATCCCATGCGATCCTACTTGCGATCCTGTTATAACATCGATCTTACAACGATCTGGATCGTTTTGGCAAAGTAAGATCGTAGGATCGTACGATCCTACGATCCGGATCGCGATTTTAACAACCATGGTACTTATCTATATACAATTTGATCAATTCTTCAAGACAATAATAATAAAAATATCAATAAACGACAACCAAAATAAAAAATTTACTTCATATACAGGACACAGGAGAACTACCTTCAAGAGCAATGGTAGATAAGCAAGCTTTCTCCATTGTCAACAAAGCTAGCCACTTTGGGCTCAATTGTGGCTTCTTCGTTGCATTATCATTTGCATTGCTTGACTTCAATTCCTTACAACTTACAAGAATTTCCTGAACTTTGAGCATAATTGCAGTGGAGGTGGAATCTACTCCTGTACTGTTATCTTGTAAGATATCAAAATCCTTGCGTAGTGCTAGAAGCTTAGAACCGATAGTCGATGTCTTGTCTTTATTAACATCATAGGTGACAGGTTTCAACAATTTAATCAGAAAACGGATGCAACTTGGTGAATCCAAAAGGTTATCACCTTGACCCTGTAGTAATGAAATTTGAAAAGATTTAAGGCTATTGTGGGTGATAACGGTGCGTGCCGATCAATCCGGGCAAACAAATAAACAAAACAACATGAAAGTAAACTCACAATTAGGATTAAAGAAGTGAATAAAGAAATACATATGCATTCATGCACAAATTGTTTAAAAATAATAGAGTCCAAGCAAATGTATACTTGACAAGTACACAAAAAAATTTCAAAACAATGACATAACTTAAAAGAAAGAAATATTTGTATGAGAATGTGGCTTGAATTCCATAATATCTCAACTTAACTATCAGTTATATTTTACAAAAACTGTGAACAAGTGAAACAGAGATGGGAAGCACATTTAATGTCATAAATGTAAACAAATCCACTAAATCAATTTGAGCCGAAAAGTTTGTATGAATTCACTAATTTTAGGCATTACAAAACTTAGCTCAAAAGGACAGACTTCATATACCAATTTTTTTTTTTTCGAAATATACCTTAGGTTTTCCTTTAGGAATACTCCAACACAAATTATTCCTGTTGAACATGAAAGCCAGCATGAAAGAACATAAAGTAGTAACCTACTATCTTAGAATCCCTATCTATTTATTTATATGTAAAACTTGGGACATAGATAAGCAGTGCTAGATGCCCCTTTGAATTTAATTGACATAACAAACACTAATTTATTGCAATGTGATGAAAATCACATTTGAACCTTTGAAAACAGTAGATCCTATAACTCACATTATGAGTCAGTTCAATTGATTATTCTGAAGCAGTCTTACTGTCTTAGCTTCCCAAAGGTTTGGCAGCAAAAATTTCAATATCAATGATTTTGTATTTTGTAGGCCATTTTATGGATTAATTAGTTCCCTTCACTAAACTATTTTTTGTTTTATTTTGTAGAGACTCTTGAGGATGCAAATTTTGTACAGGAGCCTTTTATGTTGTTCCTTCTCTTTAGTTGTATACAGGTGCCTTGTTAATTATACTTGTCAAAAAGAAGTTCAATATCAACTAAATAATCTAACAATTCGCAATAACAACTAACATTTGGAAAACCAGCTGTGTTGCTTAGGTGGTATCTATCTCTCATTTTCTTAGAAGCGTAAGTCATTAGGTTTGAAGTCGTAGTCCAGGAACATAGGTTTTCTATCAATGTTTTAAAAAAATATTTTATGTATATCTTTTGGTGGGGGTATGTGATAATCAATTTGCACAGATTGTTAGCCTGTAATTTGTTTGTAGCCACTACTTTAATTAGAGAATGGTATCTAATGCAAATTTATAATTCAATGTTAGAAGCCAAATAGTACACCCATTTACAAAGCTTCCAGAAATGATGTTATTGCAAATGACACATAAACATCACATACATTTACACTGGAGAAAAGAAAACATGTGCATCCTCAAGTTATTAGTTCCAAAGATTGATATTCCCAATATATATCATTTCACTATTTTCGAAAGAAACCATGTTGGCCCTCAATGCAATGATGATTTTATTAAATTCTGCAAAGAAGACATACTTCCTACATATACTCCCCAAAAAAACTAAATGTAATACTCAAAAGTCTTCAAGTGTTAAAGGATAGCTCGGCTACTCAAAAAGTTCAGTCATCCAAAATAGGAAAGTATGAACACGATCCAATTTATGGCATGTATTAATGTCAAAACTTTGCTAGACCATTTCTAAACCAATGTTCTTGTTAGGAACAATCATGGAATTGTACCCAATAGTTGGAATATGATCAAATGAAGTGAAACTTATCCCTAGCATTGTCAAATCAAAGGCAAATCATTTAAATGCGCCATAATGATTATGGCAGGCCATAAGTAGTTTTGGGCAGTTTTAAGTCTTTGAGGGCATCACAACATACTAAAAAACTAGATTCTTCTCCACAGCAATAGTACAAAATCAATAAAGAAAAGACGAAGAAAAAAAGAGCACTTTTGGCCTTTAATTATGCGTGACCAGCTCTTCACTAAGAAATTAAACTTGACATCAAATGCTAAGAGAAATTACACCCATTGTTCTCCATTCGTAATAAAAATTAACATTTAGGCAGCATATTATCGACAACTTACGTCACTAGTCAAAATGTAAAAGAGAGCTGCAGCTGCCAAATTGCTGGGTGAGTCGTCGAAGCTGAGTCCCAAAACAGCATCTATAATTGATTTTGCCATCCTGAAAAAAAGAAGTTAAGGTGTGCAGCAGCAAACAAAGCAAAATAGTTTCGATATCCAACCATAGAACAATGGTAAATATCCAACTGCAAAGATTTAATTTCTAGATGAATACATAAATGTTTTAAACCATGATAACCACTCTTCATCTTAACCACTTGTCTACAATATACCCAATGCATTGTACCCAAGAATACATAATTGAGCATTCTAATCTATACCATCTGTATATTATATAAGGAGCACACCTCAATTCAGTTGGTGTGAATTGTCACACTTCCTTCTATTCTCAAATTGCCCCAATATAAACAACCTCAGATCTTGATTTTGAATTTCATATTTTGATAATTTTTTAAGTTTTTCTTTTTGCTCCTACATTCTGGTTGATTTTCATTGCACGCCCATTGGCTATGGGTACAACCTAGTAAAATTAAAGGGAAAATCCAAACACCACCTAAACAAAATCTTGAAAAATCTTGAAATTGACATACCCATGAGTTCTTAGAAGCCACCGTTGCTGCACCATACAGCAAATCGACAACAAATTTGACCGTTCTAATCTATACTAACAAAACTCCGCCATGTACAACTATCCCTATATAACTACCTCAGATTTTGATCTTTGAATTACAAGTTTTGACAATTTTCCAAGTTATATTTTCTCCTTCTACATTCTGGTTAATTTTCATAGCACACCCATCAAATATTCTTACAAGGTAGTAAAATTAAAGGGAAAATCCAAACACCACCTAAACAAAATCTTGAAAAATCTTGAAATTGACATACCCATGAGTTCTTAGAAGCCGCCGTTGCTGCGCCGTACTGCAAATCGACAACAACGACAGCAAACTCGCTCGCCGAATCCTCGCCGGTTGGCCTTTCCTCAACCCATCCAAAGCAAAATTCACCTCATCCACATGCTCCATCATTTCCCCAAACTCCTGAGTCTCCATCAACGTCGCTGTACCCATCAGCGTCGCCGCCGAAACCGATTTCCCCTTTTTCGATTTCACCTTCTTGGTCTTCAGTTTCCGAAAACCCACATCGCCGACCTCCGAATCGCGCTTCCTTGGGGGCAGAATCGCCAATTCACGCGATTCTTGGAGCGAATTTGGGCCGAAAGGATCGAAATCGAATGAATCTTGGGAAGAGAATCCGAAATTGAATATATCTTGAGGGGTTTCTTGGGTTAAAGAGTCGACGAAACCGTCGGACTCCGATGCAGATGCGAATTCGTCGTGTGGTGAATCCGAGTAGCCGCTCCGATTGCGACGACCGTATGTTCTAACGATCATGGTGTGGATTGAAAGCCTTCATGTGAAGAGAAAGATTGGAGTTTTTAGGGGAATGGATTTGGGGGAAAAGAAGAGTGTTATCTGGGTTGAAGATTTGAAGGAAGATCGTGAGCTGAATTAGATCGTGAGCTGAATTTCATAAATCTAGAGAGAGAGAGAGAGAGAGAGGAAGTGTGTAGAGACGAAAGTAACCCTAATTCGATAGGGTCTGCCCTAAAATATGGTACGATGTTATACCGTATCGAGTAAACCTAGGTGCATACAAAAATCAAGGGCGAGGATTTTCGAGTGCGTGGGTCAGTAGGATAATTATTTATCCTAATTTATTTTTGGGTTGTAGTCTACTCGATATTGGAGGTTGCTTTGGTCTCAATGGATTTATTACAAACGTCAATTTATAATTTGAATCGTTTAGTATTGAAAATTTATTAGTTATTTATTTTTATAAAATTTTTATATTAATTAAATATTAATAATCACTTAATTAGATTATATTATATTTATTATTGTTACGAATATAATCTAATTAAGTAATTATCGATATTTGATTAACATAATTTTTTTATAATTATAAAGCACTTGACGAATTTTACATATTAAACAGTTCAAATTATCGATGCGGACTCTGCAATATGCCTAGAAGCCCAATAACTTAGATTAGAAAGAAATCTCTCCCTTTTGGATAATAGTAACTAATGTTCTACCCGTGTTATGTACAGATTGTGTTTATAATTATTTATATAAATGTGAATTATAATTTTTAAATGTCTTTTTTTTTTTACACACAGAAAAAGAAATATAACAAATGTAACATATCTTTAATTAATTATTTTATATTTGCTTTTATTCAAAATTTAAAAATAATGTACAGGTAAAATTTATAACTAAATTCAGAAAAAAAAAAATATTCCTAACGACATTTTTTTATTTCTATATAAATACTTAAAAAAATAAACTTGGAAAAAGTAATCAATATAAATATTATACAATAAGTATAAAAATGTGGTTAGCAATTATGCTTACATAAATTTACTATAGTCTTAATTTAAAAAAAAAAAAAAAACTATTTTGAAAGTATTTTATTTAGTTAGTACCAAATAAAATTTTCTTAGCAAAAAAGAAAATTATAAAATTTTGTTACAAATTTTCAAATGTCTATTATTAAATATTCTAGCATGCATGCTTACTTGCTTTGAGAGTTTTTATCTTTGTTTTTGTTTCACATTCATCGTATTATTTTATTTATTTTTCTTCTTCTTGCTTGATTTTCGCATGATACTTTTTTTATAGTGCATCTCTGAGTGTATTAGTGAAAACATCATACACTTAAAATACACAAAATTACAATATATAATAAATAAATAAATAAATAAATAAAATATTCGATTAACATAATCTTTTTATAATTATAAAGTACTTAACGAATTTTACATATTAAATGGTCCAAATTATCGATGCGGACTCTATAATATGCCTAGAAGCCCAATAACTTAGACTAGAAAGAAATCTCCCCTTTTGGATAATAGTAACTAATGTTCTACCCTTGTTATGTACGGATTGTGTTTATAATTATTTGTATAAATGTGAATTATAATTTTTAAATGTCTTTTTTTTTTTACACACAGAAAAAGAAATATAACAAATGTAACATATCTTTAATTAATTATTTTATATTTGTTTTTATTCAAAATTTAAAAATAATGTATAGGCAAAATTTATAACTAAATTCAGAAAAAAAAAATATTCCTAACGACATTTTTTTATTTCTATATAAATACTTAAAAAAATAAACTTGGAAAAGGTAATCAATATAAATATTATACAAAAATGTGGTTAGCAATTATGCTTACATAAATTTACTATAGTTTTAATTTTAAAAAAAAAACTATTTTGAAAGTATTTTATTTAGTTAGTACCAAATAAAATTTTCTTAGCAAAAAAGAAAATTATAAAATTTTGTTACAAATTTTCAAATGTCTATTATTAAATATTCTAGCATGCATGCTTACTTGCTTTGAGAGTTTTTATCTTTGTTTTTGTTTCACATTCATCGTATTATTTTATTTATTTTTCTTCTTCTTGCTTGATTTTCGCATGATACTTTTTTTATAGTGCATCTCTGAGTGTATTAGTGAAAACATCATACACTTAAAATACACAAAATTACAATATATAAAAATAAAATAAATAAATAAATAAAAGTAAGTAAGTAATTGTCCAAAACTACTTTAAAAAAATAAAAAATAAAAACAAAGAGTTTTTATCTTTGTTTTTGTTCCACATTCATCGTATTATTTTATTTATTTTTCTTCTTCTTGCTTGATTTTCGCATGATACTTTTTTCATAGTGCATCTCTGAGTGTATTAGTGAAAACATCATACACTTAAAATACACAAAATTACAATATATAAAAATAAAATAAATAAATAAATAAAAGTAAGTAAGTAATTGTCCAAAACTACTTTAAAAAAATAAAAAATAAAAACAAAAATGAAATTATTTGAAATGGAAAATAATTTAGGAAAATTAACTAGTAAATCCCATTTTGGGATCTGATGTTCCAAATGGTCTCAAATTATTTCGTATGAACCGTCCAGTCCTTTTGTATGGGAATTGACGAAATTGCCATTTAATTTGGAGTGATTTTGGAGTTCCATGCCATGGTGCTAAACGTAGGGCCTGTTTAGGGCATACGTGTGTTTTGTTGGAGTTTTGGTGGGATGTTGGCAAACATGATGTTATGAATCGTGGGCTACCTTGCCTGTGGAGTCCAACCCAAAATGGTACGCATTATTTGGAAATGCAATCCTCAATTTTGGAAAGATTGTTTATGTTGGTAAGGTTTCAGATAATGAACGTGATTTGAGAGATGTTGAAATGGGTTTTCAAATTTCAAAATTTTGTTTCGTATTCCACGTCGCGTTGATTAAGGTTTGGGGTGTGCGTCTTTGTGAAACGTATACTTGATTGTAAGGTTGTGTATTGTATGTGCTTGTGACCGTGTGGAGTAAACCACAGGTTTGCTGCCGTCGTAACCGTCGAAGTATTTTAAAGTAGGGTGAACAAACTACAGTCGTAATCCCACGTTTGTGTGCCGATGACAGAAAGGGGTAAGTGTTAATTACTGTGTATATGTTGTATGTTATGTGGTTGTTTCCTTTTAGAGTTTATCTGTGAGTTGTTGTTGTCGTTGTATATGTTCACATTTTTTGGGATTCCCATCACATCCATGATGTGTTCTTGTTTTGATTGTACTTTCTGATGCATTTTCTTCTCGTGTCATGGTTCGGTGTGGCTGTAATGGTTGCCCACATCACATATACTGATGTGTGGGCGAAATAAACTATCGTGCCTAATGAGGTTTGAATAGTTGGTTAGTAGTGTATATATGATTGTTGTTGTCTGTTTGTATAATGTGTTTATGTGTATACATTTCGTGGAATGTGTGCACCTATTAAGTTAGTAATTGTCTTATTGCTTTTGTTTGGTGGCCGCATTAGGTGTGTTGGTAGTATACATCGTATCTGCGTGGGTATTCGCTGATGGGGTTGTCGGTGTGTATGCCAACGTTACATTCACCAATAAATGTGAACATTTCTAGTGCAAGATGTGCTTGATTTTTGGTGATGTTACCAGTTTTCCACGATTTTGTGTGCAGTGTTGCATGTATGTATTATGTGCCGGGGGTTGGTGGATATAGGTGTGACACGTGATTGTGCGGCGATGAGGTGTTCGACATGCATTGATAGTGTTGGCATGTTTAGGTTATGTTAACTTTTGTGTGTACTATGTGGATTTTGTTGGTAGAGTTTGTGTGGGTTCTATTAATCATGTGTGCTAACATTTGAATGTTATTACAGAGGTTGGAACGATGGACAGCCCGTGGATGAGGTCCTGTGAGCGCAAACAACAAGAATCATTGGAAGGGAACCAAATGAGTAAAATCAGTGTTAATATGGAAGGACAGAGGACGTTCAAGCAGCCGAGAAGTGTGAAACGTAGGAGTGGGTCACATAGACTGTGAGGCCCCTGAAATATGTATTCTCTTTAAAGACCTTAATGTTTGAATTATTTTCTTAAAGCCCCTCGGTTACTTGAATTAATTCGAATCTTATCGGTTAGCATTACTATTTTTATTTTTATCAAAACAGGAATTACCCTAGTCGGATTAGGTTCCCTAACCTAATTTAATTCTACATAAGTTACATGAATTTAATACCAAACCCTCACTCTTTATTTAAATTCAAAATTTTTCCAAAAACTAGTACTTGTAGTACCATCAATCAAGTGAGATATATATATATATACATCTTGAGAAGTGTGCCCTAGAACCTAAATTGATTAAAAAAATAGCCCCTTCACCCTTCCCTAGGGCCGGCCATTCTAGAAGGAAGTGAGGAGCCAATTTTCAAAGTTTATCATCATGAAATTCTAGAAAACCACAAACCTAGTACCCTAGACCTTGGGTGATAATTCCAATACTAGTTCCATTTTAACTAAATGTTGCCTAAATCTATGAGTAAACCCCCCCCCTCCCAAATCACTCTTATTCCTTTAAACTTTAAACAAATCCTAAAATTTCCATCCATTTCCAACTAATGGGCTTTTATGACTTTTTACATAAAAAATTGTCTATAAATACCAACATTCCCTAGCTTGGCAAGCCCAAACAACACACTCACACACACATTCGGCTAGAGGAGAGGGAGGAGAGCAAGAGAGAGAAGTCTAGAGAGGAAGAGGGAGGAAGAAGAGAGCCTTCTTGTTCAAAGCTTAGCAAGTAAGCCACAACACAGCCTTCTCTTTCATTTTCCTTTTTCAAATGCATGTTTCTAAGGGTTCTAAATAGTGTTTTCAGATCTGTTATTGATGAGTTACTTGTGTTAAAAATGCTAAGAGTTGAGTTTTGATTCTATCTCTCTTGTATTTTTCCCATTTCGGCACAATACCATCTTTTTTTCATACCAATCTCTCAACTTTCCAAGGGCACACTTTCAAGCAATTTTTCTGAGTTTAATATATGTTAGTTAGCATGTTTTCATCATAAAAGAAACGAAATTTTCCCTTGGTGAAACCCTTTTCTCATAAATCTTCTTGTTTTGGGCATTTTACCTTAGAACCTGTTTTTGTAGCCCACTTTCAAAAATTCTAGAAAAATGTATAAAATTATTTTGGACCTCTATTTTATGTCAAAATCTTCCTTAAGGAGTTAGCTT